GTTAATGTATCTTCACTACCTAGACCTCCTAGACCTAGAAGTAAAAATGCTTTAGGAAACCTGGACCGACATTGGATGGAAACACTGAACGGATGTTTCGGGTAATGGAAAAAAAGTTAAATGTAATTATTGCTCAAAAATAATCAATGGAGGAGTTTTCAGATTCAAACATCATCTTCGTTGGTACTAGATTTGATTCTGAACCATGTGCCTCGAGCCTCAGAAAAAGTGAAAGTTGTAATGATGAAAGTTGTGGCAGAGGCTAAAGATGTTTCGAAAAAGAAAAGGAGACGGAATATAATTGATGAGTATGATGATGAGCACATTCAAGAGGTGGATACCACTCAAAGTAGTAGTAGTATGATGTTCAAAAATAAAGGAAAGGACAAATTCGAGTCAAGGTGTTCAATCTACTTTAAATCAATTGTATAAGAAAGGGGATAAAGAAAAAGTTGATGCTCAAGTGGCGGAATTTTTTTACACAAGTGCCATTCCATTCAATGTTATTAGAAATCCCGCTTTTGCAAAAATGTGTGAGATGATTGGAAGATATGGAGTTGGTTACAAACCCCCATCATATCATGATATTAGAGAAAAACTTTTGAAACAAGCAAGTGCAAAAACTCGATGTAATCCTTGAAGAATATAAGGAGGAGTGGAAAAGAACAGGTTGCACAATCATGTCCGATGGATGGACCGACAAAAAAAGACGTTCTATTTGTAACTTTCTAGTCAATAGTCCTAAAGGGACTGTGTTTCTTTACTCATTGGATACATCAAATATCTCAAAACTGCAGATAAAGTGTTTAAGATGTTGGATGATGTAGTGGAATTTGTTGGAGAGGAGAATGTGGTTCAAGTGGTTACCGATAATGCCGCAAATTTCAAGGCAGCTGGAGAGTTATTGATGCAAAAACGAGAGCATTTGTATTGGACCCCATGTGCTGCCCATTGCATTGATTTGATTTTTGAAGATTTTGAAAAACATTTGAAGGTCCATCAAACTACTATCAAGAAGGGAAGAAGAATCACTACCTACATTTATGGTAGAGCAATGCTAATTAGCATGTTAAAGAAGTTTACCAAAGGTAGAGACTTGATAAGGCCAGGTATGACTAGATTTGCCACATCTTATCTAACTCTTGCATGTCTTCATGAATTGAAAGCATCATTGATGAGCTTCTTTAGCTCTAATGAGTGGAAATCAAGCAAATTTGGAACTTCAATGGAAGGGAGAAAAATTGAGCATGTGGTATTAGATAGTCGGTTCCGGAAGAATGTAACCACTTGTCTCAAAGTTGCTGCCCCTTTGATGGTGGTCCTTCGATTAGTGGATTCGGATATAAAACCCGCAATGGGTTTCATTTATGAAGAAATGGATTCTCGCCAAAGAGAAGATCAAATTTAACTTTAATAATATTAAGAAAAGGTAAAATTTATAAACTTTCTCTTTTTAGATTTTCATTCTTTATTTTGTGTAATTATTTCTAACATTGCATGATTGCATCATTGTAGTTATGAACCTGTTTGGAACATAATTGATGAGAGGTGGAATAATCAACTTCATAGACCTTTGCATGCGGCTGCATATTACCTTAACCCTCACATGCACTATGAACCTAATTTTAGAAATGATGATGTGGAGGTAAAAGAAGGGTTGTATGAATGCATGAAAAGATTGGTCAAGGATGTTGCAGAAAGGAAAAAAATTAATTTACAACTTCTAGAGTTTCATTTTGTAAAAGGACTTTTCTCAATGGAAAATGCAAAAGATTGTAGGAAAGTTATGCTTCCTGGAGAATGGTGGGAAATGTTTGGAGATGGAACTCCAGAGTTGAAGCGATTTGCTATTCGAGTTTTGAACTTAACTTGTAGTTCTTCCGGGTGTGAGCGTAATTGGAGCTCATTTGAAATGGTAAGTCAAATTTGTTAAGTTATTATTTGTTTTTAATTTTTTGTATTTAAACATTCATATTTATTTATAGGTTCACACAAAAAGAAGAAACCGTTTGCACCAGAAAAAGATGAATGACTTGGTTTATGTCATGTACAACTTGAAGCTCAAAAATAAACAAAATAGGAAAACAATTGCTCTCCCATTTGATGATATTGAGTCTGATGATGAATGGATAACAGAAGATGGTGATAATGTTGGGATTGAGCCAGTTCAAGGTGAAGGTGATGAGGAAAATGTTGACATAGCTGAAATAAGTTCAATTGATCCTACTTTAGAACCAATTGATCTTGATAATATAGTGTTTGATGCCAATGTTGATGATGCACTCTTATCATCCGAGGAAGAGGTTGATGGTGATGGAGAAGATGATGATGAAGATGAAAAAGATGATGATGTTGGAGATGATATAATTAGAGGATTGGAGCTAGAAAGTTGAAGTTATTTATGTTTTGGTGATTTGTATTAACTTATGTATTTGGTGTAATTTGAACTTATATAACAATCATGTGTGTTGAACCAAGTTATTTTAAAATTATTGAACTATTGTTTTTTATTTTCATTAATTTTGATGATGAAATTCTGAATTTATATTATTATATAGAATTTTTCATATGAAGTAGACTCTTACGAGTCTACGAGTCGGGTTTACGAGTCGAGTTTACGAAGCTCTCGCGAGTCAACGTAGACTCTCGATTCTGATAACCTTGGTCACCTTTAATAAGTCTTCCTTTTACTTTAAATATCCTTCTTCTCCATGTGTGTCGCAGTCTGCTATTGTCAATATTCCTGTTGTGTGTGATTCTCCGGTTAGTCAACCTTCGGATCCCCCTTCGTCACCACCACTTTTGGTTTATAGTCGAAGACAACGATCCTAACAATCACCAAATGACTCACATCTAGTGCTAATTCCTTCATCTTCTCCGACTTCGACAACTAAGTTTGACCTTCCAATTGCCATACGTAAAGATATACTTCTTACTCGTAATCCCTTTTCTCATTATACTATTTTGAGTTACCATAGATTATCTTTACCTTTTTATACTGTTATTTCGTCCATTTCTTCTGTGTCAATTCTCAAATCCGTTGGTGATGCCTTAGTCCATCCTGGTTGGCGTTAGGCCATGCTTGATGAAATGAATGCTCTTCAAAATAGTGGAACTTGGGAACTCGTCCCATTACCGTTTGGAAAATCTGTTGTTGGTTGCAGGTGGGTTTTTTGCTATCAAAGTTGGTCTTGATGGTACTGTTGACCGTCTCAAAGCTCTTCTTGTGGCCAAATGTTACACACAAATTTTTGGTTTGGACTATGATGACACCTTTTCTCCAGTGGTAAAAATGACTTCTTTTCGCTTATTCAATCATGACTGCTCTTCAATAATGACCTCTTTACCAACTGGATGTCAAAAATGCTTTTTTAACAAAGACTTGCAGGAAGAAATTTATATGGAGCAACCTCCAGACATTTTTGCTCAGGGGGAGTCTTCTCGATTGGTATGTCGTCTTCACAAATCTTTATATGGCCTAAAACAGTCTCCTAGGGCCTGATTTGGAAAATTTAGCAGTGTTCAACAGTTTTGTATGACTCGTAATGGGTAGATCATTCAGTATTTTTGTCACTCAAGTGTTGGATGTATCTATTTAATAGTATATGTTGATGGTATTGTCCTTACAGGGAGTGATCACCTTGACATCTCCAGATGAAACAATACCTTTATCCCCACATTCAGATCAAAGATCTTGTGGTAAAGTTAGATATTTTTTGGGAATTGAGGTAGCACAATCCAATAATGACATTGTTATATCCCAGAAAAAATATGCATTGGATATTTTAGAAGAAACTGAGTTAATAAATTCAAAATCTGTTGACACACCCATGGATCCCAATACAAACTCCTACCTAATCAGGGGGAGTCTCTCTTAGATCCTGAGAAGTACAGAAGATCAATTGGAAAATTAAACTATCTTACTATTTCGTTCTGACATTTCCTTTACAGTTAATGTGGTGAGTCAATTTCTTAATTTCTCATGTGCAGATCATTGGAGTGTAGTCATTCGTATATTAAAATACATTAAAGGATCTCCCGGAAATTGTTTGTTATATGATCACAATAATCAGGCTAAAGTTGTCTGTTATTCAGATGTTGACTGGACAAGATCTCCTTCTGATAGAAGATCTACTTGCGGATAATGTGTTTCTATTGGAGGTAACTTGATCTCTTGGAAGAGCAAGAAACAAAGTGTTGTAGTAAGATCTAGTGCAAAAACAGAATATAGAGCTATGACCTCAACCACTTGTGAACTTGTTTGACATAAACAATTACTTAAAAAATTACAATTTGGAGATATCACTCAAATGACACTTATATGTAACAATCAGATTGCTCTTCATATTAGCTCTAATCTTTTCTTTCATGACAGGACCAAACACATTGAAGTTGACTATCATTTTATTCGAGAAAAGATTGTATCTGGAGACATTAAAACCGTGTTTGTTAACTTAAGTGAACAATTAACAAATATTTTCAGCAAGTTTTTATGGGGACCTAGAATTGAGTATATTTGTAATAAGTTTGGTACATATGATTTATATGCATCAGCTTGAGGGAGAGTGTTAGATACTCTAGATATTTTAGATATTATTAGTCACAATATATGTATTTACCATATTTACTTATATGACTTTTAATTATAAATATATTATCCTATGTGTATTTTAAGACACAAAGAGAATTAACCCTATATCTAGTTTTCACAATATTAAACAGTTGTTGAGGTCCATAAAGCTGTGAGGACATTGTTGTTTGGAGGGCATTACTTTTAAAATTTTTCAGGATCAAATAATCCTAGCACATATTTTTTTATTTGGTCTGTTTTTGAACGTATACTTTCATGCACATAGTTTTGACCAACTGTCAGATGCTCGTAATGTATATAACTGATAATAAAAGTTATTTCTCCAGGAATTGGTATTTTGTTGACTTTTGTGTTTTTCTACAATCAATGGAAGATGTGCTAAATTAGTTGTTTCATACAGGTGTCTTTGATGCTTCAGTTCTCTGGGTCATATCTCAATGTTGGAAGCAGTATCAGTAAAATTCAATGTCAATTTGAAATGTATGGCGAGGCTTTTGATTGGTTATCTATTTTATGGGAACGGGGCCTTCATCATGACAATCCTCAGGGTTAGTGTGTTCATGATTATATACTAGTGTTTAATCAACTTATATTGATATTTTTATTAGTACAACATTAAAGTCAGGATACAAATCCCGTTAGTTAAAGTTTATACTTTTTCATGTATTAAATAAGTCCTTCTTTCTTGCTTACCATTTTTTCTTTTATGTTGTTTTCTAAAAATGCAGTGAGATGCCTGATCATGCAGTCTTTTCTTGACATCAATTGGGAGAGTTATGGGAACTACATAAAATCAGTGCCTGAAACTTTTGTTCTTGGCCCATTTATGCAAGGGCTAAATGACCCAATACACCACAAAGAGTTTGGTTAGTGCTTCACTCCTTGGGCCCTTTTCAAATGGCTTCTTTTTATTCATATTTAAATCTATGTTAAGCATTTTCCTTTTGAGCTGCTTATGCAATTATTTAATTTCACTTATATCATTACTTTATCCAACTGTGTTCCATTTGTTGCACGATAAAGTGAATCCCATAAACTTTACCAAAAGTAATATTCTACTTAATTCCACCTTGATTGGCTTTGCATTTTTCAGGTATAAAAGGAGTTTATATGTCAACAGTGATTGGAGGTGCTGCACAGTTTCTACGCTATTATGTTAGTTTTCTAGCTCCAAGGTATGTTTAGCAATTGTGTAATTAGGCTGGTATGTGTGTCTGCGGGTCTTTTTAAAAGAATTAATAGAAAATAAATGATTTTAAAATTAGGAGGATTTGGAATCCTTTTGATTTTACGAAGAAACTTTAGCTAGGAAAAAAGGTTGCTTAGAGCTGGCCTGTTTGCTAATAAAATGGGCCTGAGGTAGGTTACAGAAAAAAACACGGGTTCTATAGAACAATCTAATTGCTTTGCATGTCCAAAAACTTGAAAATCGTTTAAATTCTATGAGCAGAGAAGATGAAGCAATTTATGAAGAAGTTTCTCAAGTTATGCTCCACTTGAATATCCAGATTCCCACTAAAGGAGCACAGAATCAAAGCAGCTTATTATTATCCTCTTTACACCCAAAACCTTCACCCAATTAGCAAAGAGACTTCCAGATTAGGTGGATATATCCTGCAATCTCAAGAACAACTCGAACATTGTACCCGAAGTTTGTAAACTATCAGTTTTAATTGAGTTTGTATTACTGGAATCCATCTCTCTAAGATCTACACGTTTTGTTTGTATGAAATGATATCATTATAGAAGGTGTACATGAAAGGTTGTATTGTTTATGTTTTAGCTGTTCTTAATTTAGAAGAGCATCTGAGGAATAAGTAGGTCTGGAATTGGTGAAAAAGAAATCAACTTGTATCATCCATTTGGATTAAAAGTTCTCACTCAGTATGTAGTTTTGGAAAAAGTGGAGAATATGACCCATCCTCATTGATTAGATATTCAATGAGCATAAATATTTTTTAATTGCAGTTGATCATTTTACATGATGGATTTGTTTTTGTAATTGTGGGAAATCAAATAGTATTTTAGGAAAGAATAAATTAGGAAATTTGTAATCTGTACAAATTTGAACAATTAGGAACAATCCCATAAATCAAGGGATCCTAGAATATACCTTATCAACATACCTTATCAACATACCTTATCAATAGACTATCGGGCATTGTTGTTTCAAAAAAGTGTCCCAAAAAATTTCTGGGGGGAAGCTGTCCTTACAACAACATACCTTATCAATAGATTACCCTCTAGAGTCTTAGGATCAAATAGCCTTATGGAAGCTTTGTCGTCTTTCTATCCAAACCTGTTTACTACAAATAATCTTAAACCAAGAGTTTTTGGGTGCATCTCATATGTCCATATTTATAGTACAGGGGAAAACTTGATCCTAAAGTCTTAAAGTGTGTCTTTGTTGGTTACTCATCCACTTAGAAAGGGTATACATGCTACCATCCCCCATCCAAAAAATTCTTTGTGTCTAGGGATGTTACCTTCAATGAACAAGAGGGCTATTTCCATCAACCTTATCTTCAGGGGGAGAGCTTCAGGGAAGATAAGAAAATAGTAATTCTGGTTTTCCCATTCTTCCAGACTTGATATTTGAACCTAAACGAGATCAAATTGAAGCTGTAATAAATGAAACAAGTTAAGGAATTGGTCAAGAAAAGGAAGTTGGTAAAAAAAGTGAAATTAATTGTGAAGCTGATCAAGAAGATGTTGAAGCTGGAAAATTTGGTAAGAAGCTGGTGTTCTCAAAGACCATTCCAGGATCAAGCCATGTTCAAGAATCCAACTCGACTCCACAAAAAGAGGTAACAATTTTTTTTCCAGCTGTGCAGGTTGAAATTGAAACCCAAAATGATCCTGACCTCCCAATTGCCATTAGAAAAGGGACAAGAAAATGCACCAAACAACCACTCTACCCTCTCTCATATTACCTGTCCTTTAAAAATTTCTCTCCTACCCATAAAACCTTCCTAGTAAACCTAAACATTGTACTTCTACCTAATACCCTACCTGAGGCATTGTCTGACAGAAAATGGAGGCAAGCCATGGATGTAGAGATGGAGACATTGGAGAAGAACAACACCTGGGAGTTAGTCACCTTACCAATAGGAAAGAGGCCAGTTGGATGTAAGTGAGTTTATACAGTGAAATACAAGGTTGATGGATCAATTGAGAGATATAAGGCAAGACTAGTTGCCAAAGGATTCACCCAAACCTAATGAGTTGATTATTTGGAGACCTTTGCTCCGGTTGCCAAAATGAACATAATTAGGGTGATATTGTCCCTTGCTGCCAATTATGGTTGGAACTTGGAACAATTTGATGTTAAGAATGCTTTCCTACATGGAGACATTGAAGAAGAAATTTATATGGAGATACCTCCGGGATATGGTAGAAATGTTGCCAACACTTTTTGCAAGTTGAAAAAGGCATTATATGGGCTAAAACAGTCCCCCCTGTGCATGGTTTGGCAGGTTTACTAAAGTTATGACAGATATGGGTTACAAACAAAACCAAGGGGACCATACTTTGTTCTTTAAATATTCCAAGTCAAGGGGAGTAACAATATTATTGGTGTATGTGGATGACATAATATTAACTGGAGATAATAAAGAAGAGCAACAATTGTTGAGCCAATGCTTAGACAAGGAATTTGAGATCAAGACCTTAGGAAAACTAAAATATTTTTTGGGAATTGAAGTTGCCCACTCCAAGAAAGGGATATTTATATCCCAGCAGAAATACATCTCTGATTTGCTCAAGGAAACTGGCAAGGAAGCTTGCAAACCTGCTAGTACCCCATTAGAACCAAACCTAAAAGCTTGGAAATGCAGAAGATGTCGCTGTTGAAAAAGATATGTACCAGCGATTAGTGAGCAGACTTATATATTTGTCGCATACCAGGCCAGATATTGCTTATGCAGTGAGTTTAATTAGTCAATTTATGCATAACCCAAAGGAGACCCATTTACAAGTAGCCCAAAGAATTTTACAGTACCTTAAAGGAACTCTAGGAAGAGGGATTCTATTGAAAAGGAATGGTAATGTGAAGCTTGAAGCCTATACTGATGCTGATTATGTAGGGTCAATTGTGGATAGGAGGTCAACTACAGGATATTGAACCTTTCTTGGAGGAAATCTTGTGACTTGGAGAAGCAAAAAGCAGGGTGTAGTGACTCGGTCCAGTGCTGAAGCAGAATTCCGAGCCATGACACAAGGTATATGTGAGTTGTTATGGCTTAAAATCATCTTAGAAGACTTGAGGATAAAATAGGAAGAACCTATGAAGTTCTATTGTGATAATAAGTCAGCAATCAACATAGCCAACAACCCAGTGCAACATAATAGAACAAAGTATATTGAAGTAGATAGACACTTCATCAAAGAAAAGCTTGATAGTGGCTTGATATGTACTCCATAATGTATTTAAACAAGTAGGAATGTAATGACAATAATCATAGAACAAATAGGAACAATTAAAACAATAGAAAAAAAATAATGTGTGATTTTATCATGTGGAGATGAAGGAGTTGTGATTCTTATTCTCAAAAGCCTTTCCCAATATAAAAATTAGAACCTAGATTCCAAGCACTAATGCCATGTTAGTTCTAGACAACGTATAGATATTAATATATTTTTTTTGGTATGAATGAGAGCTTAGGCTTTTCTTTGGAAGCATTAATGAGTAGCCTCATCAGAGACTGAGTATGGCTGCAACAGTCTGAATCTAGCAGTTGGAGATTTTAGAATTTTTATGCTGCTTTGTCTTTGTTTGTTGCTAGTTTTTACAATGTGATATGCTTAGGAGGCCTTTGATTCTCTTTTGCTTTCTTTTCCCCTTATCTTCACAAATTCTTCTTTTATAGACGATGACATGCATGCATGCATGGTTGCTTGTCTGTCTATAGTTTAGTGGTACTGCTAATCATACGACTTGTCCTTGTCTCTTAGTTAATATAAATTAGTTATGCATTGCTTTGGCTTTACTTTTCTTATCGACTAAAAGTTAATTACAGGAAAGGCATTGTATTTTTGTGCAATTTAGCATCTACTGCTAAACATCAATCTTTTGGACGAGCTGGACTTATGGGCCTAGCTAACTGCATTGCTTCAGCAGCTTCTGGCATTGGAATAGTTAATCATTTCAGGACAGAATCATTTAAAGGATATTTTCCTGTGGAATATGTTTCTGAAATGGAAAATCAACCTGATAAAAAAGAATTACTAGATATCTTTAGATATGTTGTTGAGAGCAGCAAACAACATTTCAATCCCAGTTACCGTCTTCAAGGTTTTTAATTTACTCTGCTGAATTATGTGATTTATAATATTCATTTGATTATCATAAACTTTAGGAGGCACAGTATAAGTCAACTTATATCTTGATGATGTTTACAGTTTGTGGCAAAATTCTGGAGGCTGCTGTTTATGTGGTTTGTCCATTTGATATTCCACTTGAAATTCTTTTGCTTTTCATTTCTGCATTGCCGAAGGAATTTACAGATTATGGTGGTAAGAGAAATATATAATGTCAACTGCTTTCTAGTGTCTATAGTCATGAGTGTACAGTGTATAAAAACAGGAAAAAATATAATACCGAACATTTCATTTTCCCTTTAGTTGTTTGCAATTTGACAATTTCATGATATTGTTCTGATCTGATCCAAAGAGGTTGTATGAGAGACATCAAATACTACCTATCATTGTTATCCAATCAAGATTTGAATATAGAATAATTGAATCTTATCACAAACTGTAAGCTACATGCAATGATGCAATAATAAAATTTCATAAAATATGTTTTTATTTAAAGAAACATTAACAACATATAGATATTGGCATTTTTAAGTTTTACAACTTATTGTATAAGCAATAACTGAATATATACATAACCAACAACCTGTGAAGCATTGTGGGAGGATCAAAGCTCTAACATAGTATGGATATGAGGGGAAGGCATACAACAATGGAGTGGCTTTGGTCTTTAATATTTTGACTATGAATCATTGGAGAGAAAAATTTTGTTAGGACTTGAGCACAGGAGGAAATTTCAACCCAAAAGGCTAGTTTATTAGGTGGAAGAGCCTCAAGTCTTAAGTAAGACATCAAGTAGTTCATTCTACTGGGACTCCTAACATTTTCACTCCTTTAAGGGTCCATGGAGACTTTCACTCTATCGCTGATCTAGTGGTAATACTTTTCTCGTTGACGGCTTAAGTCTTCTATCAGTATTAGGCTTGCACCTTAATCCAATCTATAGATAGCCCTTTCCGAAGCCTAAGTTTCAATGAAAGTATTAATTGCTTGGACACTAGGACATAAGCTCAAGAGGAAAACCCATCCAAAAGACTAGTCCAATAGGTGGGAGAGGCTCAAGGTTTAAGTACCACATCAAGTATTTCATTTCACCTTGTGGTCTCTATACGAATTGCAAAATAACCATATTGAATCATGGTATGAAATGAATGCTTTGTGCATATTTTATAACTAAGTTATCAATTTTCTATCCTGATAAGGTGTCAGACTGCAGTAGTCAATAGTGACAGGGAGCAGCGACCCTCCAAAACTGCTGTAGCAGTAGTGAGATGACTTCTATTTTGATCCTTATGTGGATTTATTTTGCATTATGTATATAATATATATTCTTTAAAAATAGAGAAAAAAACACTCAAAATTAATAGTCTGATTAAGTTTTATGACAAAGTGGTCCAAGGAAAAAGCTGCAAAACAACATATAACCATGTCCAAAATAGGAAAAAAAAGCAATAAGTGGTTGGCTGAACAGGTTGAATGGCAAAGGGTGGTTGGCAAGATATTGCAGTTGAACAGAAGAAAAAAGAAAAAATGTGCAGTTTTTATTGGCAGTTGCATGTGACATGTCACCGGAAACCTCATTGGAAATGCAACCAGAATAGAGAGGCAAGTATAACCAGAAAATGGGAGGGAAGGGCTGATTTGCGAAAGAGGGGAGTGAAAGTTGTGGGTTATAGGTTAAAATAGATAGCTAACATTTTACCCTTGATAAGAAAAACACAAAATCCTAAATCACCTTGTTTCCTAGCCAGGAATTGAGTCCATTTGGTTAACTTGAGAAAACTTATTTAGAGTTTGATATAGTGACCAAAGGCACTGAAACATTGTATTTATAAAAAAGGGATACAATAGAGAGGATATGGGTCTCAGTCCAAACCCTTAACCCTGTTAGAATCGTGCAGCGGAATGTTCGCGTGGTTGGACAAAAACCAAGAGGGGGTGAATTGGTTTCTTAACAAAAATTAGGTTTTCAAAATTTTCCCCAAATTTTACCGATTAAAAAGCTGTGTAAAAGTAAATAAGATAGAGATAGAATCTTACACAAGAGGTTTATACTGGTTCGGATCAAAAGACCCTACGTCCAGTTGCTAATAACTCAAACAGAGGATTAACGCTGTCACTATAATCACAGTTGTTACAAACAGATTACAATGGAAAAGATAAAATAAAGAAAACACCTCTCTTGAAACCCACAAGAGATGAATAACAGCTTTCCCCAGAGACGGCACAACACACAATCCACTAAGAACTCTACTTAGTGATTCTTATCGCTTCTAGCCCACACCAGGTTCCAAAAGCCCCTTTTTCCTCCAACAAACAGTTCTCTGGCACTCACAACACTTAACTTTTGTTTGAAAAAGGTTGTTCTTCTTTTCTGAGTGCCATAGAGAAGCTTAAGTAGAGAAATTAGGGTTTGGGAATTGGGATTTTCGGAACTAGGAGTTTTGGGATTAGGGTTTTCGAAAATAGGGTTGATTTGAAGTTGAAAATCAAAATCTGACTGAAATAATCGATTAAATGAAGTGTTAATCGATTATTACAGAGCCAAAATCAACAGAACCCCAAAACTCACTGTTTTAATCGATTAAAAGCCCTGTTAATCGATTAACAGGCCTGTTAATCGATTAACAGGTGTGTTAATCGATTAACAGGTCTGTTAATCGATTATTACAGTGAACAGATACAGAAAATGATTTTTCTCACTGTAATAATCGATTATTTGACCATTTAATCGATTAAAGCCGAGGCAAAAAGAAAAATTTGAGTTTTTGAAGCTTCTAAGGTGCAGATTATGTACCGGCTATCTTAAACTCTAATATTACAGCCTCAAACTAATCAAAACAGAGTTATTACACTATAAAACAAGCCTTCAACTCTCTAAGTCTTGTGTTCTTGAATCATCATCAAAATCAACAAGCTTCATGTCCATGTAAGTTCAACATCAAGTCCTTGAATGTTCAACAATCTCCCCCTTTTTGATGATGATCAAAATTTTCTTTTAAAGCCTTGTAATAACTTGTTTTATTTGTCATACTAACAAACACATTAAACATACCAGATAATATTTAAAATCAATCATAGTAGGCTTTAACTATTTCTTCCCCTATTTTGATTATAATAAAAAAAAAATTCTTCTATAACAATCATAAGAGCTCCCCCTCAAAATATGCATAACTTGGAGATAACTCCCCCTCAATTAAAGCAATAAAAGAACACCACATGTTATTTCAGAAATGAAAATACATTACAAATAAAAGGCAAATTTAAAATTCTTCACTATCATCACTATGAAAGTGTGCATCAAATCTATTTTCTAAATGACACACTTTATCATCTACATCAGATATACGACGAATTATTTCCTCATGCCGTACTCCAGAAAGAGTGAAGAATGCCTGCATCCTCTGATTCATATCAGATAACATGTCTTCCATAGATTGTCGGGTTTCATGATGAGCAGAGGAAGTTCCAACACTTTGGATTTGATCAGAGGGAAACTCAGCAACAGGAGGCATATCTTCATCAGAATCTTCATTATCATCACCTTCGTTTGGAACGTCATCCTTGTGAACATAAATATCGTTGACACGCACCATTTGGAGTTGGATTAATGTGCTGTCCAGCATGTGATTTAAGTTATTCGTTCGTACTGTTTGTTCACCTTCGACATTTACTCCTTTGTATTCAAGAATGCGAAAGACAAGGAGGGCATATGGAATTTTGAAGGTGGGATGGCGTTTGGCTTTTAACATAGTCATGGTGACAAGAACGTCCCAATCTAAAGGCTCATTATTCATTATGGCATGAATAATACGAAGATCAATTGAAGAACATTGAGCATGATTCGTAGCCCGGGGACATAGGATCCAGACAAGTAGATGTAAAATCATGCGTTCCTCCTTCTTCAAAGGTCCAGCTAGAAGGAGACGCCCAATCTCCATGGAGGGGTTTCGCAGAAAAGAACGGTATGTCATGATCCTGTCAAAATCATCTAACTCACCATACACGTTAATAACATCTTCTCTAATAGGAAAGTGAGCAACGTTTTCCCAAATATCATCATCAAGAATAATTGTGACACCCTTTACTCGAGAGGTAGCAATTTGATCTCTAAATTTGAACCTAGAGTAAAATACCCTAACTAAGTCAGGATAATACGTACCTTGCATTTGGATGAAAGGGAGAACTCCTTGAATTTCAAGGAGATTAGGAAAGTTGAATCCCCTATTGATGAACTGCTCACCAATAAGGAACTTAGGAGAAATAATACCACGTTCCTTCCAATAGGACAAAAATTCTTGTCGGCCTTCTACATCAGAGATCCATCCTTCTACAGAATTAGGACGGGGATGAGATGAGGGTGCAGATCTTCTTCTAGTGGGGATTTTTGCACGAGAAGATGAGGCCATTTGAAGGATTAGAAGAGTAACAAGAAGATTTAAGAGGACAAGTTAAGTGAGAAGAAAGCAAGATTGATAGAATGAGGCAAGAAAGCTTGATTTCAAGAGATAGAAGTGAGTAGAAGTGAAATGGAGGTCCCTATTTATAGCCAATCATCTGCAACGGTCATATGAAAGTGAATAAGGGTCAAAAGAGCCGTTGGCAACGGTTAGGAATCCAAACTTGCCAGGTTTAATCGATTAAAACTCAAATTAATCGATTAAACCACTTCCAGACCATTTAATCGATTAATTTGAGCTGTTAATCGATTAACACAGAGTTTAATCGATTAATGGGCGAATTAATCGATTAATCCAGAGAGAAATGTCATGTTTTGGGTGTTTTGGATGCAAATAATCGATTATAACTCCAATTAATCGATTATTCCAGAGAGATCATAAAATATTTGAGGTTTATGCACATGATAATCTATGAACATTCTACATAATGAATTATAACATTATAACCATCCAAAAAACTGTCTAATTAAGCAGAATTTAAGCTATTTCTAATATCCCTAAGTCTCTTCTAAGATCATAGAATCTATCCTTGGGTAGAGACTTAGTAAATATATCTGCTAATTGATGCTTTGTATCAACGTACTCTATTTTACAGTTTCCTTTACTGATGTGATCTCTTAAGAAATGGTGTCTAATTTCTATATGCTTAGTCCTAGAGTGCATTACTGGATTCTTAGTAAGATTAATTGCACTCGTATTATCACACATTAAAGGTATGTCATTTAGAAATATACTATAATCTTCTAGCTGTTGTTTCATCCACAGAATTTGAGCACAACAATTACCAGCTGCAATATATTCAGCTTCAGTGGTAGATAAAGCAACACATGTCTGTTTCTTAGAATGCCAAGATACTAAGGATGGACCTAACAAATGACATGTCTCACTAGTACTCTTTCTATCAATTTTGCATCTATCATAATCAGCATCAGAATATCCTATTAAACTAGTACAAGCATTAGATGGATACCATAAACCAAAACCAGTAGTTCCTTTTAAATATTTTAAAATATGTTTTACTGCAATTAGGTGAGATTCTTTTGGACAAGCCTGAAATCTAGCACACAGACAGAATGCATAATATCAGGTCTACTTGCAGTTAAGTATAACAGTGAACCTATCATACCTCTATACATAGATTGATTAACTTCCAAACCTGATTCATCCTTGTCTAGATAGCATGAAGTTCTCATGGGTGTGTTAGCTTCCTTTGAGGTGTCCATTCCAAACTTTTTAAGGATCTCTTTGCAGTATTTTGTTTGAGAGATGAAAATGCCATCTTTAAGTTGCTTGATTTGAAGTCCAAGGAAGAATGTCAATTCTCCCATCATAGATATTTCAAACTCTCCCTGTATTATCTTAGCAAATTCTACACATAACGAATTATCAGTTGATCCAAAAATAATATCATCAACATATACCTGGATCAATAAGATATGTTCTTTAACTTTCTTTATAAACAGAGTAGAATCAATTTTTCCTCTAGAAAAATCATTTGAAGTTAGGAAACTACTTAACCTTTCATACCAAGATCTAGGAGCTTGTTTCAACCCATATAATGCTTTCTTTAATTTAAAAATATGATTAGGATAACTAAAATCTTCAAATCCAGGGGGTTGCTCCACATAAATTTCTTCTTTAATAAAACCATTCAAAAATGCACTCTTAACATCTATTTGATATAATTTAAATTTCATCAAAGATGCATAAGCAAGAAGTAGGCGTATAGCCTCTAACCTGATAACAGGAGCATAAGTTTCATCATAATCTATACCTTCCTCCTGACATTAGCCTTTGACAACAAGTCTGACTTTATTCTTTGTTATGTTAACATCTTCATCAAGTTTATTTCTAAATACCCATTTGGTTCCAATAACTTGATGTGATTCTTCCCTTGGGATTAATTCCCAGACTTGATTCCTTTCAAATTGGTTAAGTTCTTCTTGCATTGCTATGCACCATTGTTCATCTTTAAGTGCTTCCTCAACATTTTTGGATTCTATCTGAGACACAAAAGCTACAGACATGCAGAAGTTAGTCATATTTCTAGTTCTTACCCCTTTTGAGATATCACCAATGATATTGTCCATTGAGAGTCCTCTTGGTGATTGTCATTTTTTTGCTAATTCAGGTGTTTGGGA